TCATACCTTCACCACCGATTCCTGGTTGCTGAAAAGGATGAATTATTTTCTTAATGTACTTTTGTACCATTTACTCTGTGATGTTTCTTCATTTATTTTAAGACAAACATCCTTTACCTTAAAAATGTACATACTTTGCAGAATCACAGGATTAACCAGACCCAGTTTCTTGGCTATCCCCTAAAGAATAAATATCCAGGTTATTTGTTTTCCATTAAAAATATTCTGATATTTTGCTTCAGACGACTCACCTGGACCTTGGCTGAATGTGTAACTTTCTTATACAAAGGTTCATATGCATGTAGGGCTAAAAAGGAGAAAGTTTGTTAGGGTATCAAAGAGGGGACACACGACTCTATCAATCAGGATATCTTACCATGTCCGACTTTATTGACAGACTGCTGCTTCGGTACGATGAATTCCCCTGCAAGAACATGATATGCTCTGGCTCATTTAGATTTTCATGACTTGTTGAAATATTTCACAGGACAGAAAGAGTTTCGTCGGAGCTCACCTTTGTCATCAAAAACGCCCTTCTCGAAGAAAAAACGGATCTTATCTCCACTTGTGATAAAATAATCTGCATTCCCCTGCAGGACATGATATTTACACTTGTCAGCTGTTGCATCACTAGGTTGAAAGGGGTGAAAGGCTCACTCTCTAAACACACTATTTACATAAGGTTGAGAAATGACAACAAAGACATTAGGCTGAGAGAAATTTGGGACAAAGGTCATTTGATTGCCTTGCAAAATGTTTATGCATTTAGTCATATTTCAAAGCCAGACTTCTTGTTTTTGTAACAGACAATTATCCCTTTATTTTTTTATTATGGCACTCAGTGAAATCCTTTAAAAATACAACTTTCAAGTCAACAGTGTTATTGGAATCCAGGACAAGACCTTATTACCTTTGTAACATTTTGATGGCAATAATGAATGTCAATGTAATAAATAGAAATGCCAACTTGCCCGAATATATTAAGAAAAATAACAAAAATAAGTAAATTTAAAAAAATAAGAAATTCATGAAAAACACAAAGAAACACATTTTTTTGGTCCAACATACCCTTAGAGGCATTAATGCTGATAGTGGCACTTACATTTTTTAGTTTATAAACCTAAATATAATTGTTAACTAGGCTTATTAACTTTTCAATTAGCTGTTTACCTTTTTTTTCTTGACTTTTAAACTTTTTAATTAACGTTTTACCTTTTTTTCTTGACTTATTAAGTTTTTACCTTTTTTTCAACTTAATTTGCGGTAGCTAATATATCATTTAAGTGTTCATCTAATTGGTAAAATGCCAAAATAAGATGCACAGCCATGTAGCAGTATCTTTGCTGACTGGCTGGGTATAGATCTTGTGCTTCTAGACCTCACTGGGTCAGATGGGACTCCATTTGTAAGGAGTATGCAAGTGCTCAGAAATGGTAACTTGCCCTATAAAGTGTTAAGCAGTCATACATTATTGTGAAATGACAAAAAAAGAAAAGATTATGGCTTTTTAAATGCTTCAAACAACAACAAAAAATGTGGCATGCACCTATATAAGTTCACCCTCAGTCAACACTACCTTCTGCAACCTCAGCAGAAAGCCAGGTGGGTATGTTTCTACTAGTTTTACACATTTGGAGCTGAAATCTTGGTTACAATCTTAGAATAATAACTCTATCACTCTTCCATAGAGGTTATATACAAGTCTATATAACAGACATTTGTCATCTTAACATTTTTTTTCCGCATTGACCTGCTGCTTCTCTAATAAATATCTAAACTCACCAAAAATAGCTGTATGTAAATTAAATTTCTACTTTGCAATATGTTGTATTAGTGTAAATCATCACTTCCAATACAATACATCAATTATGCTTGTAATGGGAACATTTAGTAGATAAGAGTACTTTTGCAAGCACTGTAACAGTGATGGGAGGGATTTTCTGCAGGCCTACCTGCATCTGCGTAAAGGAAAGCATGTGAGAAACAGCAAAAATAAATAAATCTGGGTGATTGAAGAGTTTTAATGCAGCCACTGACTACCCTCATGCCGTTCTGTTTATTAGGCCACCTGTTTTTTTAGCTGCTCCTCATGGTAGGTGGAGAAAGTAGTCCGGCAGTGCTCTGGGACGTCCATACGCTCCACGATCTCTGTCATTCTCTGCCTCAGCTCATCGCACTCCTGAGAGGTCAGCAGCCCGTCTAGAACCACGTATCCATCTTCCCTGTACTTAGAACCAGAAAGGAAGGGACAAAAGATGCTCTTACTGAAGTTTGGAAATGATCTGCAACTTCTTCATCAGAAATGTTTAATCCATTGCACCTACACATTAAATGAATATGTATATTGAAAAGCTGGATTATATTGAGGCTGCACACCGGCTCCATTGGAAGCACTGATGCCCTGTAGCGGAATATCCTGGATTCTGTTGTTGACAGTAGGGATTTTCTATGATGCATGCACATCCCAAAGTCATTATTGTTAGATTACCTCCAAAGCATCCTGAGGTATGAGTGCATGTTGATTTCTCTGTGTCTCTGTGTGGACTGTTGATTTATACGGAGATTACTCCACTCACTGCTGGAGATTACCCCAGGATATGAGACAATGGATGGATAAATCATTGGGTAAGTGAATGATGTCCTCTTTGATGTTTAATATTTTTAATATGGAACAAGCAGGTGAATTTTTATAGTCATAGTCAACAACATAGAAGTTGTTAGAGCGAGTTTTGTGACCCATCTAAAGTTCGAATGGTGTCTTTAGGTTAAACTGTGCGGACGCAGCAGGATTTCAAAGTTAGAGCTAAAAAAAAACCTCTTAATTCAACAGAAATAATAAAATATATATATATATATATTTTTTTTTTCTGAGAGCTATTTTCATTTTTCTACTTCTTTTGAGGTTGGATTTCTTTGGGTTTCAGGTGTAAGTAAAAGAGTCAGAAATTTGACTCAAGTAAAAGTAAAACTACTTTAAATTAGCTTTACACAAGTTGAATTAAAAAGTAATAATCCAAAAAATATTTCCATATGAATAAAAAGTATTTGGTGAGTAACTATTTTATTATAACATCTATTTTTAATACGATGAAAATGAGGAAATCAGACAGACAGAAATATGTAGTTATGAGCAAATTGAAATATCAACACAATTAACATAATAAAAACATTTTCACAGAACTTGATTTAAAAAGCATTTTTCATATAATCATGTCTCAAGTAAAATATTGATGTTCTTCTTTCTGTGACAATATACACAGAACAATTTACTGTATATAATTATGTGACCTACAAATGACACATCTGGCTCAGAAGACAGAAAACTAAATTAGAACAATAAATATAATATAATAAACATATAAAAAGTTTAACTTTTACAAAAAACTTCACTGGTGAGTTATCTGTCTGGTGGTTTAAACATGCAAGGTTTTTGTTTAGTGAGGTGAGTCCAGGTGGGTAGATGATCCAGAAACTGTTCTCAATTAACATCTTCAAAACTAGAACATTTAAAAGTACAGTGAAGTAGTTTTTTTATACAAAACTTGCCAAAGCAAATGTAACTTAGTTTACCACATCTTTGGAAAAAATGTTGAGTTCTTTACACTCTGATGATATTTTACAGAAACCAATCGATCGTACAAAAACATGACTTATTGTGCAATATTCTTCTATCTCACTGTAACACATGCCAACTGCTGTGTAGCCTATAATGCCCTTATTTCTATGGCCAGTACATTTCTGCAGTACAAGTGCAGTAATCCAGTTCAACTGCTGTGTAGTCTTTCCTTAGCTCTCCACTGTGCAGATACTTTTATATCTAAAGGAAACTTATTCCAGAACATTACAACTTTTCTTACGCTCTTTAGTACTATATACAGTCTCTTTATTCTTTTTATCTGTTGTATTTTTTTTTATATTTTTTACCTTTAATGGCATCTTGCTTTATCTCTGCACTCTATATAAGTTACTGGAACCAGAATTTCCCTGAAGGAGTAATTCCAACAGATAAATAAAGTTGAGTCTAAGTCTAAAAACACCAAATGCATTTTCTTACAACACAACATGCCCTTTTTTTTAGTTCTCAATAGTATTGAGAGCGATTCATATTAAGCAAAATTTACGTTTCTATATAATTTAATAAAAATGGTAGAGTCTATGATTTTAAAACCAGATGGTGAAAGTTTTTTCTGCTTTATTTTTTATAAATTGCGTTTCTGCTGTAAGAAACACAATTTAATGCCTAATCTGTCATAAAACATTAAGTCTCCAACAGTTCAGACTTAGGTAAAGTTTTAACTGCTTATGTTCACAACTATTTTTTTTGTATCTTACGAAATTAATCTGTAACTACTTTGATAAATTAATTCCTATCCCTCTGCTTTCTGCTTAATTATCCACCTGAATATCAAATAATTACAAACCCGTCAATTGAAAAAATAAAAAACCTGTAATGTAAATGTGGAAAAAAAAAAAGGATTTTCCATCAACAATCTGTTGTTTTCCCCAATGATGGAGTCTTTTTGCAGATATATCAAAACCATCTGTTGCACAATGTAGGCGATGAAGTGAAACATCTAATTATCTGTTGCTTTAGACAGTAAAAGATGAACATTCTGCACCCATGACTGACCTCCTGTGGGTGCAGCTTGTTTATGTAATGATCCCACATTTTTAACCATTTCACGCGCTGTGGCTACAATCCTGCAGGAAGTTTACTTCAGTGCATTTTCTTTACAGCATTGAAATACTTTTGGGGTCAAGAGCATTACCCTTTAGATCTCGATGTGTTTTGGTAAAGTGATTCTTACCTTTTGCACGTCCCGATCTGTCATAAAATCCATGATGATCCACTGGGAGTTTGATCCTTTTGAAAGCGAAGCCCCTATCTTTTTCATCCGGGTAATCGACAGTCTAAACACGTGAGCTGTCAAAGCCAATTTAAATACAACTGTAGTGTAATAGGATTTTGCAATTTTAACTCTTTCCTTGCAGCGCCCATAGTTTGAACTGCAGTGGCACAGTATGGCCTCTAGATGTCACTGCTGTGATATAAATAATGCAAAAAAAAAAAATAATAATCAGACCATAGTACCATAGTACGGAGGATAAGGGCCACTGAAAAAAAAAAAGTTAACTGATTTTTAAATGTTATTTCAGTTTAATATGAGAACAATGTGAGAATTCTGACTTTAATCTCACAAACATGTTAGCACCAAGCCATAGCCATGTCTGTTTTAGAGACTCAACTAGCTCTCTTGTTTTAATGACCTTCTACTCCTCCATCAATTAAAAGTGGCATCACCGGGGACCGCTCGGGCACATAAAAAGTTGCCTAATTGCGTTATTTTCCTCCAATGTGTTACTGTTCCTCCCAAACAACTCACATATTTATCAGTGAAGCTGAGTGCTCCAACATCTCTACCTTCATGGTGCCCATCTACATTAAGATCCACATCTGAGATTAAAGTCAGAATTCTGAGATTAAAGTCAGAATTCTGAGATTAAAGTCTGAATTCTGAGAAAAAATTCAGCATTCTGAGATTAAAGTCAGAATTCTGAGAAGAAATTCAGCATTCTGAGATTAAAGTCAGAATTCTGAGAAAAAGGAATTATAAGAAAAAAGTCAGAATTCTGACTTTTTCCTCATATTACACTGAAAAATTTTTATTTTTTTATTTTTATTTTTTTAAATTTAAAAATCAGTTAACTTTTTTTGTTTTCTCCCGTGGCCCTAATCCTCTTCCGTAAACAAAGGATAGATGATGACTTGTATAATTTCTGCCGCCAAATCGGTTCCATAAAAAAAATTAAAATAAAAAAATCAAGCCAACCTGAAAAAATTCTGAAGAAAAAAAACTTGCTAAAGAAAAGACAATTTTTTTTTTTTTTTTTAAAGAAAAACTACTTTTCAGATAGTTTTTTTTTTTTTTTATGTTTTTGTTTTCAAACTTGCAGATTTATTTTGAACATCCAGATTTTTATTTTGAAATTGCTGATTTTTTTTTTCTGTTCCTCTGCTTGGTTATTAAGCTGGAGGTAAACTCAAACATATAAAAAAAAAAAACTTACTTCTTGGTTGATAAAAGCTTGTTTAACTTTTTAATTGGATCCGCACAAAACAAAACAGAGACCCAGCCCCATTTTATTTGAGTACCTAAAATCTATATCAATCTTCAGAGCAGTCGGTAGCAGCTTTCTTTTTCTGTTTGGAGCCATTTACCTAGAAGCTGCTACCCCAACAGATAACTTAGATATGCTATAACATGTATCCAGCAACAAGATAACAGAGTTTGAGGCACTATTAGTGAATGAGCATATATAAATATCTTTATGACAAATTTGATCTCTTTTTGTGTTCATAGGTTTATATCCCAAATTATTGGGATGTAATTTGTTGCAGAAACCTAATGTGCTCAAATGAAAAGTTTTATTTTAAGCTTTTTTACACATCCTAACCAGTAATAGCAACCGGTCTGGAAAGATGTTACAGAAGCACTGATTCCACTGTAATATCTGTAAATCTATAGAAAAGATGATAACGTTGAAGCAAACGGAGATGTGGCACTGAATCTTTCATCCTTATGAGAACTTCATCTCCACCATTAACCAAATACCATATATGTGCCATGCATCTACAATACTTTAAAAATATAAAACATAATAAGCTACAGCTGTTCCCCTTCTTTTTCTTAGGGCATAAAGCTGTGCAGCTGCTTGATATAAGGACAAGGCTCCACTAAATCTTTGTTTTTAATATTCTCAAGCATTTGAAGTTGCAACCCTGCATATGCCCTAAACATTATTTATAGTGTGTAAGAATAATTTCTCAGCAGTTCAACTTCTCTTTAACACAGGAACAATCCAAGAGGACAACAAAAAAAAACTGTAAAATGCAGGAAATAGCGTTAACTGTTCATTTTATTATCAGGTGTATAAAAGTAGGATCTGAACATTCATCCTTACAGATGCTTAAAAAGCCAGTGTTTCATTCACCTGTCAAAAACTGTCATCATGAAGGCATCGTCACACATGATCCAGACAAAAAATCTGTCCATTCAGTTTGCAGTTTATATTCAAAGAGACCATTTGTAAGGGTTAATAATGTGTTTTTTAGTATGGCTGTGTTGCACATAATTGCAAACCCATGCTTTATTAAGTCACATGAGGAAAAAAAAAGCAACAAAAAAAAGTCAGTCCCTGATAGACAGGCATCAGAATACTCACTGTAGACCGGAAATACAATCATGTATTTAAAATATATACAGAACTCCAGAGAATAAATGAAACCATGGCAGTTCAGCACAAAAAAAATATGTTCTCAACAATAAGTTAATACTGAGATTATGACAAATTAAAGCCAAAATATGACCTACTTAGAATGTAAATCCACGCAGTGAAGATCGCCTTTGCTTCCAGTTAAGATTGTCATGGGCCGGTTCTGTTCAGCTGTGTCAGAATATCTATAAAAAAACTGTGAAAATGCAGATGTTCTGATCCAACTGCTGATGCGAATCTAAGTCTGTGAAATTAAAACCAAGTAAACACATAACCTAAAGCGTACAGAACACACACTAACGGCACCATTTCTGATATTCTCTACTTTAAAAAGTTGAAATGAAATATTTTAGCACAAATGCTCAAAAAACAAAGCTTTTAATTCCCTTCAATAACTACTTGAATAGAAATAGGAAACCCTGTATTATTGAATACAAGTGTTCTTGTGACTAAGAAGTGAGCAACCAAAACTTCCCTTCTTTGGTTTTCAAAAAGCATCTGACTGACCTTAAGTCGGGCCTTCGCCTGATTACTAAACGCTGACAGGAGGGGAAAGAGAGCACGCAGCAAGTGAAATGAATGACTCAGAGATTAAATGATGACTGAGTAGAGCTCTAGAGGTCACAGACAAAAAAACATGTATGAATATCAATCTATAGACGTTGATCAAATCTGAATAAGCTGCACATGATTTCATTAACAGAATTTAACATTAGAACCGTTGGCGAAACAAGGAATGCTGCGATTACATTTTAATTTGATACTCTGCAGAAGGGAGGTCTGCAGTGCACCACATTGATGATCGCTCGCAATATCAAATTCTCCCACAGCCTCTCCCTGTAGCACAACACACTGTATAGGTGTTTTGTGCAAGCGAATGAATAACTTTGATTTTAAATGTTCACCCAAAGGGCCTCAGTCTCGACCTGCAGCGCTCTGCAAGAATACAGATGCCTCTTGAACTCCTTCCCGTTCCAGCCACGAACATGACTGCGTCCTGTTGTGATTTGCACATGTCAGTAATCTGGACCTTAATTGTTTGAGTGGACGAAAGATGGTTTCTGCTGAAAGCAAGGAAACAGAAATCCCTTTTGGAGTTCAGGGAGCTCCGGTCAGATCAAACCTTGAGCTCTTGGTTTTCAAGCAAAACTAAACATGTAAGAGTGTTAACACTATTCACAGAATGCACTACATTGTGTTGGTTCATGAAATTTGAATTAAACCCATTAAGGTTGGAGCTTTTAATGTGACAAAATGTTGAAAAAAAAGCTCAAAATACTTTTGTAAGGCACTGTATTATAAAACAGACAAATCCATCTATAGACCATTGCCTCAGTTAGGCTTGTCTTTTCACACCTAGAGATAGAGATAACTTAGCGTAGCATTACACCTGTCATCACTTTGGTTAAGGGCCCTCTGTGACACAGATTTCACTGGGAGGAATCATTAAACTAAATCTTCAAAGGAATGCTTGCTTTAAACCTCCAAAGAGAGCAGAGAGTAAGAAAATCAATCTCTGACAAAATACTCAAAGTCCTTAAGGGTCTGCTGAATATTAACAATCTGCCTCTTTTAACAAAAAAGTGAGAATTATTTAAAATAGCCGATTGTAGTTTTCTGCTGCTTTTCACTTAAGTGTTCTTACTAATTTATAACGTTTTATAAACAAGAAAAAAAACTGTTTAAATTCCACAATCACTGGGCAATTTTTTTTTGCTGATTTCAGATTGACACATTTTTAGAGCTTGAGCTGCTGATACAGATCTAAGCTTATTCTCCTTAAGTAGCACAAAGAACAACATTTCAAATTTTAGATCTTTCTTCTTTCAGGATAATTTTGCACTTGGACCATATTTACAAAATTTTTATTGTAAAAAAAGCTGAGATTTTTATTTTATTTTAAGCTTAGATGAGAATTATACATTTCTGAAAGCATGTTACTGTTATTTTAAAACAGAAAATATATGTTAATGGAGTTGGTATTTTTTTTTATTGTTTTAGCGGCTTAATGGGCTTGTCTGCTTCTTGTCTCCTTGAACCCCAGTCGGCCCCGGCAGATGGCCAATCACACTGAGCCTGGTTCTGCTGGAGGTTTCTTCCTGTTAAAAGGGACTTTTTCCTCTCCACTGTCGCTACAAGCATGCTTAGTGTGAGGGATTGCATTTGAGTCAATGAGTCGATGCAATCAACTGGTTTTCCTTACATAGAAAACTCTGAATCAATTTGACTGTATGATCTGGTGAATTGTAAAATGCCTTGAAATGGCATGTGTTGTTAATTGGCGCTATAGAAATAAACTGAATTGAATTGAATAAGAGATTTTAGTTTCTGATTGGCCAATCAGTAAAAAATAGTCACCAGATGACTTCTCCGTCTATTCATAATCCGCTGCTCTCCCCTTTTTCAGTAAAAACTTTTTGCAAAACACTTAAAAGTTATTTTAAAATAAAAATTTAAAGGAAATCACAAGAACGTAGTTTAAGCAGAAAATATGCTAGCAATCTCTAACTGTTTCCCGCTCGGTTTTGAGCCGCTGGAATCAAGGTTTTAAAAAAGCTGAATCTTTTCAAACTGTATAAAGCATAGAGCAATGCATTGCTCCCCTCCACCACGTTAATAGGCTCTGCCAATCAGCTGACTGAAAGGCGGCAACAACCTTATATGAAAATGAAAAAAATATGCTGCTATCAATAACAATATATTTAACATGCTTTAGTATTAAGTGATGCTTTTGCGTTATAAATATAATAAATTAGGATGTGACATAATTTAGTTTTACTCGAGGTCTGAATTCGGAAGAATCTTGTGCCCATTTCACACTTTACCGATAAAATTAAAATAAAAGGAACCATTGGTAAAGAATCAAAGAGCATTAGATATTTAAAGCACAAGAGAAAAAAACCCTGATGATGTCTGCGATCATTAACAGGATATAGCCGATAAAAAGAAAACATCAAAAAGCTAAGGCTACATTAGCATTAAGGGACATTTGGCAGGAGTAGACATTTGCTCCATCTGATGCTATTAACTATTAACGTCTAAACAAGAAAAGTGTTTCAAGCCAATAAACATGCAGCACTGGTTTGGAGTGTAAATGGTGGACATAGAAATCCGACAATCTTAGCCAAAAAAGAAGATAAAACGCTTCCCTTTTGGAATCTGAAGCAAAACCGGTTCCCTTTGTTTTGCAATTTCCTATTTGTCCTCCACTGCCCCTTGAGTGAGTAAACACGTTAATGACAAATGTCTCCTCCTTTCCACGGAGCAACCCGAGCATGATGACTGTACAGTAAAAGTCTGGATGGAAGCAGCACCGCAGACATTCCCCTCTCTTTCAGGCTACCTCTTCTGTAAATAACTTTCAAAGATCCCTCAATTTGAAATGTCTGTTAATAAATTCGCTTAATGATTAGCATGATCAGCTTTCCTCTTTAAGATCTGACCTTTGTTTGTCACATATTGATTTTTCAGATCAACAAACATTTATTTATTCAACTAAGATAACAAAATTATTTTTTTTTTTAAAGGGAAAATGCAATCCAAAACCTGATCCTGTGAAAAATCCCCCCCTAACTGTAACACAGTCCCTCAGTGCTTTGCTTTTACTTTAATATGTGTTCAATGTTGTCTTCGAGTAATTTTGGTAGGCAGGTCAACTCCATAAAAAACGCTCTGCATTTTCTCCATTTGTGGATAATTGTTCTCGCTGTATTTTGCTGAAGTCCAAAAGCCTTAGGGAAATATTTGAAACCCTTTTAAATAGTTGTAACCGTCTTTGTTTCTCACTTTTATTTTCATGTTGCCTTTTTTCCCAATCTTTTAGCCTACTTCATATTGTTAGGTGGGTTCTATTTAAAAGATGGTGTTTGACATTATTTAAAAATGTGTTATTTATACTTTGATACAACCTCCACATTTGTTTGGACAGCTTTTTCCCCTTAGAAATCAATAAATGAACATTTAAAAACTCTGTTTTGTTATTTTTGGTTTATATTGGTTACATGAAGGATTTGATTGATGATCTTACTCAATAAGGTGACAAAAAACAAAAAAGAAATGTGTGAGGGTCTTTTCTTTGCATGCTATATTTAAATCTGAAAAACATGCTGAACTGTTGGTAAAAACATGTGACTAAAAGTATAGTTACATTTTAGACTTGGAAATAAAATATGCTCTGAAAATGAACAAAGGTCACCTAAGTTAATCTGTGTGTGTGTGTGTTCAGGACGTGAACAGGAAATGTTCAGTCAAGGTCAGCCTCATTTGCTCAAATCGTGTCTCTGAATCCCATATATCACATGTATCATATGAAATCTGCATAAACCGAGCCATGGAATACTAGTGGAGCTTTCTGTTCAGGTTACAGCCCGCATCAGGCTTAAATTTACAGCTAACGAGTTTTTACGTTTCATTTGTTTCTTATCTTATTTCTTTGCAACGTGTCCCATCAGTTGTCACAGGGTTAAGGCCGGAGCTGTGAGATTACCTGTGTGATGATTTGTTTGTGATCATAGTCCTTTTGTGCCCATAAAAAAAATTTCACTCTAAGAAAAAAAGAGCGTAAAGGAAAAAGAAACCATTGAGGATAAAATGGCTTGATAACATCTGCGGATGCGATGAGCCACGTTGTGCATAACTGCAAAAATAAAAGTTCCTCCAATATATGGAGTCTAGAAGTGTGGTGAGCAGATTCAGTGTTCAAAGTGGCCCTTTGTACAACTGTCCTGCTCTCTCTCAGTTTATCAAGAGGAGCACATTTAGCTGACTGACAGTTGTTTAAGTCCAATGAACAAGTATCATTTAAGATTGATCCTACTATGGCATGCATATTTAACAGCAACTCTGCAGCTTTGTAACCTGGAAAAAGATTCCTCATAAATCATATGTAGATGTTCAACTTTCTTCTTTTTACCTTCGCAGCTGCATCCTTCTTAAGGTTTTGTCCAAGATTCAACAAGTCTCTTGTATATCTGACTGTGATTTCCTGTCAACATTATTTATTTTGGCTCAAACTTGCTCCTTATCAGCCCTCCACAGATGCTCCTTGACTTCCGTTGGCAGCGTGTTGAACAGGTCCTCCTCCACCACCAGGCTGCTTTTCTTCAGCAGCCGGCACTCGCCAAGCTCCACCGGGAGGCACTCGAGGCGGTTCCCCCTCAGCTCCAGCTGGGTCAGCCCGGTCAGTTCCCCGAAGCGCGACGGCAACGTCTGCAAGCAGTTGTTCCCCAGATTCAGAGTGCGGAGTTTCTTGCACTGAAACAGCTCAGGGGGCAAAGTCTCAATCTGAAACAGATCAAAAAAACTACATTAGATAAATTAGAAAGTCTTGCTTGAAATTTTAATGCATTTTGTCCACTTAGAGCCACAAACTACAATTAATTTTATTGGGGTTTTATGCAATAAAAGCACAAAATGCTGCATGAATGTGAGATCCAAAGGAAATAATGCATGGTTTTATTCATTCCTTGTAAATAATATCTTAAAGCTGTTACAGCTACAAGTCTCCACCAGCTTTAGCTCATGTTGACTGAAACAAACGCAGAATATTTGGCTAAATAGCAAAATTTTTGTTGGATTGGAGGAACAATAGGACTTTGATTGGACCCCTCTGATGTGCTTTATCTATACCCTTGTATGGTTATGGTTATCGTCCTGTGAGCTCCATCTGGGGTTGGGCGACATGACTATAAAAATCTCCATTTTGCTTTTCCTTAATTTTGGAAATAAAAAGACAACTGTTACTTTTAAACACTAGCTTTATTTTGAAAACAAATGATGTGAATGAATGAGCAGTGATGTAAATCATTTTGGGGATATGGGCATTTATGTTGTGTTTTATGGGGTTATATTGTAAATTATATATGGTTAAATATATAGGCAATGTGCAATATTGTGTTATATTTTGGTAACAGATACTTAATAATTTAATCAGATAATTTATGCTTAAGATTCTAAGTAAATTTCGTAAGACTGTTCACATATATGGGAATTAGAGTTGTTCAATTATTTTTATTCTAAATATGTGTTCACTAACTGTCAGATCTTTCTGTCCTAAGCTTTTTACCTGACTGTTGTCTAAAAGACTAATCAAAAAGATTAGTCCATCCATTTCAATTGGGGGATGCAGTTAAAACCTGCCAGTAAAAACGGGCTGAGCTGATCAGAAGAGGCCACAAAGTGGACCCCACCCTGACGGAACTTGACAACCACTCTAAATGTCTGCAGCTGGTCGTATTATACAGTCCGCTAGTTTATTATCTATTTGTACACATCTACAAACAAACAGTGGTGAACTGATGTCACTCTGAGCTATGGATACCCAATGAAACCACTGGTAAGGAAAAAAAGTCACCATTTGCCAAAAACTGAAACAGAAAATCTGATATATGGATAAAAATCGATGATGCATTCAGCCCCACCTCCATCTCAGCATCAAGTCTTTTACTCCATCCACCTTCTCATAAACTTCAACTTTCCTGTCCCCTAAGCATAACCCTGCCACCACCATGTGTTACCAACATACTTCCCATGATTTTGTCAAAATGTAGATTAAATCTGGCAACCTTTTGGCTTTGCACCAACCCGAACATTTAGAATATCTTAACTTTTAAAGAAGTAATAAGGGTTTCTGCAGCAGCTAATCTTTACTAATAATGACTTCATAGAACCTTAATAAAAAATATCCAAACTAAGCACACCTTTGAAAGCCAATTTTCTGTTTTTAATTTTATTCAGGGGTGAATAAAAAATCATTTTAACTTAACCGAGCAGCATGCATCTTTCTTCATTTCCCTTCACAACTACGTTCTACTACAAGTCGGTTGATTACAAAAAAAAAATCCAAATTAAGAGTTTGCTCTTTGAAAAGTTCAAATATTGTGAATACTTTTGCGGGGCACTGTTCTCATGGATCAGTAAACAATAATGAAAATAATAGGCAACTGCTTCCACTTTGTGTCAAAGGAGGAGGAATGAAATGCAAACCAGACCTGAAAACAGGAGGTGAGAAAACAAGATAAAAGGCCCCTTTAAACACAGCTCACATCTTCCACATGTCAGTGGAAATATAGGGTACAGAAAAACAAGACAAAAATGGATTGAGTGATAAAGATTTGTATTGACTTTGTTCTGCAAAGAAGTCAGCAGCAAAAAATAGCAAAGAGGACAGTTTCCTATTTAATTCTGCTGGAATCACAGCATATTAGCAGTAATACGGATGATGTGAGCTCACTGTTAAAGCTGATTTGAACCTGATCATATGCTGAAAGTGTAAATAGAGGAAGGAGCAGCAAAGAGCTGTTCCTGAGCTATTCACAGCTACTAACGGACCTGCTGGAGGTTATTTTCAGCAAGAAGAGCCACAAACCATCGCAGTAAAACTGCATTAATAGTAGTCCTAACTGGAAACACACTATGTTTGCACGCTCCAGAGCTCAAAGCTATGCTTCTACACAGAAAAACCAGAGTTTTTAATCAAAGTTCTTTAAGATAAAATTTAAAACAAGAAATATGTGGTAATTTTTTTCCAATGCAATAACGAAACCGTTCAACAAGTTCCTCAAAAAAGGCTGAAGCAACATCTAGGCATCAAGATTAACAGATGCTTAAAAAAAGCTACAGTACCCAAAGCGCAAAATTTTACATTACACCATTCCTGTGGCTTAAAGTCTCTATGCTGAAGGGTGAAACAATGTCTGACTGAGCAAGAGGCGTAGAGCAGCATTGCTCTGGCACTACAACACTTTCCCTTGTGTTCAAAAAAGAAAAGAATAGCTGTCTGAGAATATTTCCAGTTGTGGAGTGGAAATGAACGGAGCCAAACCAAAAGTGTTTGTATAATAAAGTTTCCATGAACATAACTGTAAATGTGGTATATTTATTTTAAGGGGGACGTATTATGCTTCTTTTAAACCTTTAAATGACACCTTGAAACTTGAAAGTGATTTATTATATTTTTTGGACAAAATCACCCACATAATGAGATTTTACCTCCTCACTTCCTATTTTGAGTTCCTTTCAGAAAAAGCTGTTAGGTCTCTGTCACCTTTATGCAAATAAGCTGCAGCTGGGCATGCCCCAAACTCAGTGTTTACATTCACACTGTAAATGTGTGAAAGTGGCTTCCAAACAGATGAACAACAGCACAAATATAGAACTTTGACCCTGAAGAAGTGGAGCTTTCTGCACAGCCAGACGGGACGCAACCAGCTGTTTGGACAGCTTCTATCTGAGGGATTTCTTGTTTCTACCATTTCGTCATTAACCAGGATGTGTTAAAGAAAGACAAACATAATAGCCTCACAAAGCCGTAGCCTGTGTCGTCTGCTTTGTCATCTCAAATACTAACAATTTATTTAACCCTTTAAAGCCCGATCCAAGAAAAAAACAAAATAGAAAATTTCTTTTTTTGAATTCCTTATTTGCCCTTTTAACAAAATATGTAAAAAGAAAAAACAGAAATACATTTTTGATATTAATAATTTATTACTATGCGATAAGTCAAGATTATTTTTTGTGTAGTCTTCTACTGGCTGTTTTCAGGTATATCTGATTGTGTACAATAGGATTTTGAGCAAAGTTTTTACCATTAAATTATGCAAAAGGGGTCAGATGCAAAACATTTCAGAAACCATATGTATCAAATACGATACATTTGGCATTATAGGGTTAATCCTTGTTTGTTTACCTTAAACCTACCAGTTGAATTCGTAGATTATTCATCCCATGTTTTTTTTACTTTGAAATATAGTTTCCCTAACCCTGGTGTTGGCCTAGTGGTTAGAAAAGTGTGCTTGTGCTCTGAGAAGGTTGCAAGTACCCTGTTTGATCCCCACAACCTGCACTCTGGGTCCATGAGCAAAACCTTTAACCCCACACTGCTCCCCGGGCACCACACAGTGGCAGCCCACTGCTTCCCAAGGGGATTAGTTATATGCAGAAGTAAAATTCTCCAGTTTGAGATTAATAAAGTTCAATTAAAAATTAACCCGAATGTGTGGACCCCTTGTTAATGTTTGTTTTTCCATCAGATCAGTGTAGTAGGTGGGGCCATGAACCCTATTAAGGGAGTCCAAAGAAGATTAATACAAGCACTATACGGTGAATAAATAAACAGGGCATGAAGAAGAAAACTGACATTAATTACAGAAAAGTAATGGAAAGAATGGGGGTGCCTAAAAACAAGGTTTACTCACCTGTGGAGGTAACAGTCCATCAGCCAGACATCCTGCTTCTAATCACTTAGACATTTTATCATATGGATTTTATTATGAAAGCTTCAAGGGTGCAAATTGTTTTAGACGCAGCTCTAAATCGGATCAATACAAATGTTTTAGCTTCTTACCCTGTTAGCTGTGACGGCAAAATACTGCAGGTTCTGGAGGAAGCCTACGTCTGGGTGGATGCTGGTCAGGTTGTTGTGGCTCAGATCCAGGAAGCGCAGCTTGCGACAGAAGAAAAGCTGGCTGGGGATCTTCTCGATCTTGTTCCTGTTCAGATAGAGCCTCTCCAGGTTGGTAAGGGTTCCGATCTGGATGGGGATGTAGGCGATCTGGTTGTACCAGAGCTTTAGGCACACGAGGCGGTGCAGGTGCTGAAAGCTGATGATCTCCTCGATGGTCTTCAGGTTATTGTCTTTGAGGTCGATCTCCTGCAGGTTGTGCAAGCTGAAGATGGAGTGGGGGATGCGCTCCAGGTCGCAACGAATGAGCTCCAGTTCTGTCAGGTTGACCATCTTCTTAAGGCTGTTGAGCACCATCAGCTTGGTGCCCTCATTGTTGATGGAGAGCTTCTGAAGATGCACTCCAACGTCCGTCACCACCTGAGGCAGCTTGGTCAGGTTGCTTTTCAGGCGCAGCACCTTCAGACTTTTGAGCTCTCTGAGCCCATCGATCACAATAAATCGATTGTTCTCAGCGCTCAGGTTACCAGTCAGGTGCAGCTCGCTGAGGTTCTTCAGGCTGTAGATCCACAAAGGAATCTCCTTGATGTCTGTGAACTTGATGTGCAGGGACTTCAGGTTCTCCCTTAGGAAGGCCAACGCCGGAGCTTCGATTTTAGCTGGAGTGTGGTACAGCCACATCTCCCTCAGGTTGGAGAGCTGGGCGATGATGGGGGGTATAGTCACATCCGGGATCAGCTCCAACTTCAGCACCTCCAGCTCGACCAGATCGAACACCGTGTCTGGGATCCCGCTGAGCATGAAGAGGTGCAGCTCCAGTTTGTCCTGGGAGTTCTTGGTGATCCGCTGCCTCAGCTTCTCTAACGTCCACTCATTGTTGAGGTTCAGCTGCCTCAGCTTGTTCTCGCTGACCTCCGACAGGAACACGGCGAAGCGCTTTGAGTACAGAGGGTCATACTGGTCAATCATGTGTAGCATAAAGGCAAAGTCATTCTTGAGGTCAGGGATGTCGCTATAACTGCTCTCCTCACGGATGGACTCGAAGGAGTACCGTTTGAGGGAGCGTCTCACCATCCAACAAAGCGTGTACATGCAGATGAGACCGTAAACCACCACCAAGCTGATGTAGAAACAGGCCAGGATCTTGAAAAGTGTAGCTAATGGGTGGGCGCAATAAAACAGGCGGTATCCTGTGAGTTTCTCGATGTTTACCGAGCACACCACGCTGAAGCGGATCTGTCCTACATAATAACCCGTGTAGCTTATTATCACTATGAACTTGATCACTTTAATGATAGTCTGACGAATGTAAAGGCGGTAGACTATGTCGCCTTCCTCGACGTGAATCCTGAACTTCTTCACCTTCTCAAAAAGCGCTTTGGCCTGCTCCCCTTCCTTTTTGTCCAAGACCCCGGTTTCAGAGCGATCGACGATTCCTTGTTCGATTCTGGACTTTGTTCGCTGGAGCATGGGCACACTGGCCTCCACGTCCTCGCTCACGCTCGAGGCTTTTTTGTCCATGGACCCGTTCATTTTCCCCACAGGTTTGGGGTCGCTCTCCTCCACCACAGTCTCTGACAAAGCTCTCGTTGTCCACGGCGAGTCGAAGCACTTGAGGAGGATGGAGACAAAGTGCTCCAGTTTGGAACTGGTGCGTGGGAATTTGAACCAGAAGTTGCTGCAGGCCAGGAAGATGAGAGTGTGGAGCAGCACCAGATAGGGGAAGTATTTAGCAAACCAGTGCAGTTTGTTCTCGTAGCAGACGGCGTCGACATAGTTGTACTGATGTCGGTCCAGGTCATACTGAATGCCCTTGGGTTCTGGACGGTAGGGGCCCGTGGCGTTTGGCATGGCGTCGCAAGTGTCGTTGAGGATCCACTTGCAGGGCAGGCAGATCATTTTGTCCTGCGTGACCTGCAGCGTCCCACCGAACACCGCGATCATCAGCATGATGATTGAGATGTAGTCGGTGAACACGTCCCACCATGGCTTCAGGATGCGATATGTTGGCTGGGTGTCAGCAAAGTACCGAAGCTCTGTGATGGGAATCATGATGGTTTATCTGTAAAAGAGCAGAAATAAAATAAACAGTCTATTGATTACGTACAGGAAATATTTAACCTGTTCCTCTGAAATAAAAAAATATTGCATTTGCTGCTCTTTAGAGACAAAAAGGTGAATATTTGAGTCATGAAATAGTTTTAAATGACTTTCTGCTGCCGCAGATTCTCATCTGAATTTAGGTCACTTCAACAGATTTATCTATACAACAGTAACAGTTCTTTAACCTTTGTGGATCCTTTCACTGCTAGACAGTTAACATCTCCAACTTTCTATAGTAGGGCTGCCAACGAACCATTATTTAGCTATAATCAGTCGATAATTTTTTCAAATAATCAATTAATAATCAGATAGACGAAGGTTCCTTAAAGATTTTTTTTTTTTTTTTTACAAAAACCCCAGGTGAAACTAAAACTTTTCCACTTGAGGAGTTCTTGACAGAGCATATGGACAGACTATTTTTTTTAAATCTTAAATGCAAATTGTTTATATTTTTCTTTTTACAAGCCTCTATACTCCATTTAAAGATTAATCGATTACTAAATGAGTTGACGATTATTTCAACAATCGATCAATCACAAATAATCTGATTCATTTTTTCAGCCCTACTCTGAATATGCAGCTCAGTAGCTTCCATCACACCTTAAGAGTTTTGCATGCCGGTTATATATTTTGTGGTTTTATCTAGTATTTACTGTTAGGAGCATCTTCTTAAACAGAGGTCTTCCTGGATTAATGTCTTGTTTCTTTTCTATAAACAACAGATTTATGCAGTGAAGCTCTCGTAGTTCTCATGTTGACAGATTTTTCCACCTAAGCTGTGGATCTCTGCAGTCTTCAGCAGTTAGCACAGGCCTCTCTCTCTCCTGCCTGTTGGTTCAGATAGATGATCATGTCTTGGTAGGTTTACAGCTGTGTGACACTATTTTAATTTCAGGAAAACAGATTTGCTCGTAAGATGCTTTGAGGAGCTATAAACGTATCATTTTGTCTTATAACCTAGCTCTGATTCCCTGACCTTTCTGCTGTGTCCCTTGGTCTTTATGTTGTGTGGTCGATGATTTCCTCTAACAAACCTCTGATCAGTTCATGAAGCAGCTGCCTTTATACAGAGATCCAATTTCACAAAAGGAGAGTAACTTTGTGACTCTTGATGATATTCAGCTGCAAATTGTATTTGGACTTATAAGATTTAGGTAGTGCTGGAAAAATATGTTGCTTTGAAGTATTTTAGGTGTAAAAACACAAGTCATCATTATGCAAATACTATTTTACAAAAAATTTATAAATTTACTAAAAAAAACATTTACAAGTTGCTGTTGAGTATTGACACCCACCTAATTATCAGCATAGATCAGCCATGATCATTGGCTTCTTAAAATGCAGTATGGATCAATATAAATGAGCCATAATGAACCTCTAAAAATCAGAAATAAATCAAGATATATTTACTTTTCCCTTATAAAAGAATGATTTCACAGCTGTGGTTTAATCTATTCAGCTGAAGGAGAAACACAGACAAGAGGAGTAGAGGAAATGATTAGGTCAAATGCTGAGAAGATAGCTCTAAAGAAATAGAGCGCCTGCACTGCCATCATTTCCCAACATCAACAAGAGCATGACACATCATCTAAAGAGGAGCAGCTTTGGGTAGCTGGATGTTTTTCGCCTGACATTTGACTCCATGTGATGCATAATCGACTACAATCTCTGATTGTTAAAATAAGCTCTTCTTAATAATTAACAACCAACAAAACCCAAATAGGCAAACAAGTCCAAAATAAGCATCGCCATCTATACAGCCCATAGGACGGACATGTTACTGATTATCAAACTGGAAACAGATGTTTCTCTGGGAGTAATACTTAAAAACTCAATATTGACTTTTTTTTTTTGGAATATTGTTTAAGATCAAACAATTTCATCTATGTATAATCCCACATTATCACACCGAAACAACACATGAACCTACTGAAGAGCCACTGTGTGTGAATCAGGTCACCTCACTGATGGATCAAGGCTAATAAGAAACAAAAAATGCTGAGACAACATCAGAAAAATGTTGAAACAGGAAAACACTTAAATTATTTATTTAAAAAAAGGAAGTGAAACGTATTATGCTGATGACAGCTTATAAAAAAGAGCAAACCTTTACAGCTGCTCCTTCATGTCAAAGCATGACTGATAGAATTACTAAGAACATGATGAGAAGGGCGAAAAATTACTGTCTGAGATTTTTTTCTGTCCTTTTAAGGTTAATTTTCAACACTGCGATGCAAATAGCTCAATATTACTAACAACAATAACTACAAATATTTCCTTCAAATAAGATCTAACAAACCTACAGAAATGGAAAAAGAAACTGTTGGAAAACAGTTAAGAGAAAAAAGCCACTTTAGACCAAACAACTCCACATTTGTTTGAAAATTTTCATTTTTTTCTTTTTTCTTTATAACAATACATCATAGGTAGAAGAAAAGCTCTCCTGCTGTTATGGTGATGAATTATCTTTATTACAAGCAAGAGAGCAGAAAGTTCAAAATGATGTCAAAATGACCTTCCTGTTATCTGCTGAAAGCCCAGCTCTCTTTCACGCCTTGGCAGCCTGAAAAACCTGTGGAGCCTGAAGGGTGTTGGTGTGGTCACAGCCTGATAGTGCTTTATATACTCCACTCAATTGAAAGAAAGACAGTTTAATGTTTGGTTTGAAGGGTTCCAGGAAAATAAGCTTTAAAAAGACGATTACTCTCTCTGTTTGCTGTAATTCATGCCTGCGTAACTCAAAGAGCCAGGAATGGTGTTGTTTTAAGCCATTTAAGCTGGGACATCCCTAGCTACAAAAATAGCTTTCAATAAGATCATTTGCAACAAGACTCAATCAGTGACATAAACAAAATTTCAGTTTATGGTCTGAAAATGAGCTGCTGTTAATGCTTTATGTATGGCTTTATGGGCGTTTGATTTGTTTTCAATAACATAAGAGAAATATTGAAATTATATTCTGACCTTAAAACAACTGACAGTGTCAATTTTAGAAAAAAAAGCAACATAAAAAATTCTGTATTGGCCCAATTTGTGATTTTTAAAGATGGGTGTTAAGGTCAGGAATGTTTCTGTTGACACTTTGCCATATTGCAGTTACAGCTGTACGCCGAATTCCTCCATCTGCAGTCTGCAGTCATCCATTGTGTAAAGCCTAAAAAAGAGGTTTGGCATGAATAGATAAACTTTATAATTCAGGCCTCAAACTGTGGCCTAGAGCAAGAATTAACTCATAAGATCATGTATGACCACAAAAAGGTCACGTCTTCTAGAAATATGTCACATTATCGCAGTGAGTGGAGTGTTTAAAAAAAAAAATTAAATACAAATAGATTTCTCCGGCACAGGAAGATAAACTGGGCTTGAAGAGTAAATATTTGCTGCACATCCCCTGACTCAGATCACACAAGTTTAGCTTGATCGTGTCTTTATCAAAACTGGATTAAAGAGTGACTCTGCATGTGGATCTGCCAGTACATCTCTAAAGCTTTTTTATAAACAGAGCAGCCATTGTTCCAATGTTACCTGCAGATGAGGCTTTGCTCCACGGGTGAAGACTAAAAACAAGTTTCATCCTCTGATCACCGGCCTGATTTGAGAATTTACACAAAACTTAAACATATCAAAAAGTTTACAGATTAAAACTTCTCCTAACATCCCACATGCTTGCAATTTGATGCATTTTCAAAAGCAGACCTTCTTGTTTTTTGGTAATAAATATCCCCAACACTGTCACTTTAACACAACCTAAACCATAGCATTGAAAATCATTTTTTAAAATAAGATATTTTTTCTCTCTTGGCGTGTAATATGCTGCTGATTGGACATTTATCATAACATTTAGGTGTAATATTCTAAATTTGTTGTTAATGTTGATAGCATGTGCATAACATTTTACATCAAAGAGATGTTGATGCTGCAGGACCTTTACTATTAAATGAGTCCCAATGTGCCAAATTCTGTTCTAAGCTTTTCACCACTTAATGGACCATAAAAAAAAAAAACATATTCTGATTTTGAAGACTACAAAGTTTCCTTCAAGATTACAGTGCTTAATATCCCACAGTGTGAGTCGATCGATCAGGATGATCTCCTCAGTCCAGCCCATCGTTTTAAAGCTCTTCTTATTGGCTGCTACTGCATGTCAATCATTTTTCATAAACATGGCTTTCAGAAAGTCAGGCTGTTGAGAAGAGGAATGGGCGCGGGGCAAACGGGTTGTGGGAGAAAAGCTTTAACGCAACGTGACGTACAGGATGACCCTTTAACAGTCATTAAGTTAAACAAATAAAAGTTTTTTTATTTTATTTATAATTTATGCACCTAAAAAAGTTTTGTTGGACTACAGCCCCATAAAGAGCAACTTTATATAGGAGGCTATTTTATACTATTTCATATGTTCAGTAGCACAAACTTATAACATGTTTATGGTAGAATATGGCATAATATGACGGCTGTGATTGTTTTCTTGAGAAAAGATTTTCAATGATGTTCATGAAGCTGATAGTAACTGAGAAATAGGCAAACTCATCAGGATTGCAGTGAAATAATAAAAACCAGTCATATACCATGAGTGGTTAAAGGAGGCAGGCATCGCATATGATCATTTCCTTTTTCTTTAAAAAAAAAAAGCCCTAGTTTGGACACAGAGTAGATGGGGGGCATCTGCAAACACCAATTCAAAGATTCTCAATCATTTTAAGGACTTTAACGAGGACCTTAGTCTGACCAGACATCATTTCCACTCATCTAAATCAACAGCCTTGCCTGAGAATTAAGTTTCATCTAAAGCAGATTTTACATCTAGAAAATTTTTCCAGTGCTGCACTTTTTCCTCCTCTGATAAAGTTACACCTTCTTCTAAATGGTATCCAATTACCGTAATTTTCAGATGATAAGCCGCTACTTTTTTCACAAGAAAATACGGTAAATTAAAAAATCTACACACAAAACCCAATTATGCCAGTGCGAAAATAAGATTTCTTTGAAGTTTATAACAAATTAATCAATCTAAAAATAAGTAATAAATTACATAAACACCAAGAGCCTTTGTTTAACACTTTGATGATCCAACTTTGGCAGAAATTAAACGCTGTAGTCTTTTTCACTATGGATTATGGATACAGATTTGTCTTTGCAGCGCCGTTCTGGCTCCCTCTAGTTGGAAGGGAGAAGTCTTTGCACGACCTTTTTCAGATCTCTCTCCAGAGATGTTTGATCGGATTCAAGTGTGAACTTTGGCTTGGCCACACCAGAATATACACAGACTGGTTCTGAAGCCACTCATTTGAGATCTGTGTGCTCTGGGTTCTCATACCTCTCCATAGGGGCACTTGTACCCCATTTACACTACCCTTGAAAAACCTTGCCGAGACCGGTGCAAGCTCTGTAACTGAGATAACTTATCGTGTGTAAATGGAAAGCAAACTGAACTGAACCGAGCTAGACACAACCGAACCGAGCCAACTGTAGACCAGTTCCAGAGGTAGGCATGGCTCGGTTTTTCCCTGGCTCGGTTCTCTGATAACAAGAGCGCATGAGCAGAACGCGTCATCTCCGTCTGGCTGCACATCGCGATTCACACTCCATTCCAGTAGTTGGCAGTAATGCCCCTCTGGAAATTGCTTGCCAATCAACACAAAACAGAAGAAGAACAACTATAAACAACAATCAAAATCTTCTCCACGCAACATTTTAAATAATGGCATTTTAAATAATAACACCGAAGTACAGCAATAATAATCAAGCATAACTTTCTGAATGTCACGGGCGCCGCCATTTTGATTTGCTTAAATTTCCTCCTTCTTCGTCTTCTTCTTCTTGTGTTTTATGGCGGTTGGCAAACAACTTTTGGTGCATTACTGCCATCAACTGCTTGATTTCCTCCTTCAATACTGGCAGTAATACCGCAGATCGTCACTAGGAGGCGAGGAGTCGAGGAACGGAGATAGTGTGATGTGTAAACGGTTGTCAGAACCGAGCTCGGCCTGGTTAACTGATCCGAGCTCGCACCGGTCTCGGCATGGATCAGTTTTTCAAGGGTAGTGTAAATTGGGTATGTGTCTCCTCCCTGACTAAGGCCCGTTAAGCTCATAACTCTGATGATTGGTGGATCTCAGCTCAAGTTGAATAAAATCATATCTTGCAATCTGCAAAAAAAATAAAAAATAAAAATACCTAACCCCTTTTACATTTTCATAATGGAAAAGCATAAATAACCTTTATAAATAAAATATGAGGGTCCAAACATACTGGATAAATGATGCCAGGTGGGACCATTTATTATAGGAGCGATTAGGGTCTCTATCTACTTTTCTATATCAGAGCTTTATTTTTGTTTTTGTTTGTTTTCCAATCGTTCAGGCAGCAACTGGAAAGCATAAAAGAACAGGAAATGTGGTTTGGAGAAATGCATAGATTAAGAGACGGGTGAATGCCAACATTCCTGGAAACTACAGTAGGCTTTGCAGCTCATTTATGGGAAAACACACTGTTAACATTTTCCCTGCAACAACTTCAAACAGAAGTGCTTGAAAAACACCCAAAGAACCTGAAAGCATCAGCAGCACTGACACTGAATCTGCAGACTTACAGAAATATGCAGATTTTCTCTATGTACAAGAATAACTGAACTGAGGTTTAAGCCTAGTTTTTTGGTATGCATGGTATTCTCCCCATGAAGCTTCACTTAATGAAAAAAGGAAAGCAGTGAAAACATGTTTAGTCATTAAGTTGAAAAAAAAAAACCCTCTGTTGCAGACGAACACATTCTTAATACTGAAAACAATCAAATCTGGGACTTAAACACTGATTTATGGAGAACAGTACAACCTTTTTTTTTTTTTTTGATTACTAAACACAGTTATCGCAGCTTTTAAACCGAGATACTCTGACTGTGAAAGCCTACGACTGGAAAAAAAGGCCTCCAAGGTTTAGACAGACTAAATTTTCTCCCAAACAGACCTCCCTCTCCCTGAGCAGAGTTAGGTAACACGCCCTTCAGTCACTCCAGCTTAATAAATTTGGTATTTGTTCCCACTGTCCTTCGGTTGAACAGTTTTCAAGCAACTTAACCCCTTTCCCATGCTCATATATCAATCTAATCTTTCTGCTTTGGTTCTTTATATTTTCAACAACAAAAATGCTGCAGTGTTTAGACTTTAACAGTCCTGTGGGTGTGAAAAAAATACTCCAACCAAACATGAGGATAAGGACAGAAAGTTTAATCTAGTCAGAATCAAGTTAGTTAGAATCCTTTCTAGATTTAAGGTCTCCTTTCTGCACAGCTTGTCTGTTTAATCCTCTCAATATATGTAGGAAATAGAAGAGAGCAGGTGTTCTGTCAGATCAGCATACCCATAGTCAATACACATGCGCAAGACATCACATTTGCATTTGTATATGCTAGTCCCATTTATTCCTTTAGCTTAAACTTTTAAATACCTCAAAGGATGTTTATGCCTTTAGTCATGAACAAAAAACTATTTAAAGTCAGATCTCCATACGCTTGAAAAAGAAACACCAAAAAGTAAATAATTAAATTTTTTTTTTTTTTTGTAGATGACTAAAGGGATACACGCGGGTTGAGGTAGTTTAAAGCGTATTTTTCATACAAAACTAAAGTGATAAACGGGTATTGACAATGGATATGCTGGTCTGACAGAATAAAGGAGTGTGTTTTCAACATTAATAAGTTCCAGTCTTAGATATCAAGTTACTCAACACATCCTTTCCTATCCGCTCTAACCTGTGAAAACCATCCCCACAGCATGACGCCACCAACACCATGTTTCAGGCTGGTTTTGGTGTGTTTAACCCAATTCTATTTATTTTAAAAGCACCAATTCACAACACATGTCACCTCAAGGCACTGTACAAAGACAATTCAACTAGATCATCCAGTCAAACTGATTTAAAGTTTTCTATCTAAGGAAACCAGTTGATCGGATCGACTTATTGACTCAAAGGCAATCCCTCACACTAAGCATGCTTGGAGCAACAGTGGGGAGGAAAATGTCACAGTCTGCAGCAGGTAGTTAAGAATTTAAAATCACTGAAGATTATCTGACAAGAGATCAGTCCTATTGATAAATATGACTAAGATTAAGTTCTAATTCTCTAAATGAATACATTAGCGTCTTATAATAAGCAGCTGTGATATACAGTATCTAACATATATTGGTTTATTTCCATGACTTCCCCTAATAATGATAGTAGTATCCGTGGTAAAAGCCTAAGGCAATAAAATAATTATATTGTGATACCGCAGGTAGTAATTAATTAATGCTTTATTATTTGATCGACAACATAAATGATTGCAGAAACTATTTATATTTTTATTTGTTTACAGCCAAAATAATAAAACACCTAGCTGGCCTCTATCTGTCATGTGTTTTTCTCCTCGTTTGTCTTAAATCTGATGGTTTTCTGACTCTGTTCATGATTTAATTAGAGACATTTATGAGGGAGCTTTTTCGGGCGGACCCTCTGCTGTAAACAGCAGCCCTTTGACTAGAGACGGGAAGCGATGTCTCATCCCGGCGGCTCCACAGCAGCGCGCTGCGGCAGGAAAATCTCTCCCAGCTAACAAACGTTCCCCCACAGTAAACAGAGAGACAGAAAAACTTACCTGTGTTTTTAATACTGGTGTCTCTCGCCTCTTCCGCACACGGCGGACACATTTCTCTACCGGTTCTCAGTGACTGGGGGCCCTTCGGACACCAGGCCGGAGCCTCCCAGGACAGCCGAGGCGAGGAACGGAAAACAGCATGAAGACAGGAGCCTGAGCGGAGGAGCGGTGTGTTCACAAAGCAACCGGAAGTGCTGGAAGCGTCCCAACTTCAAAATAAAAGCACGACTGGGGCAATGTGAGGTTTAGAGTATTTAGATGCATTTTTGTTTTTTTGTTTTGTGGAAAAAGCTATTACAAACATTCACATATTTATATGTTTGGCTAAACGAGTATTGTGACATAGTCAAAGCCTTAAATGCGTTTTATTGGCAATTTTGTATTTTTATTTATTTTTTTTTAACCCCATAATGCTTCCACCATAGAGATGATTATACTAGCTGTAGTTCGCACCAAACATTGTTGTGCATTGAGAGGGTACACACACACACACTAATTTCTTTAATGCTTTCTATGATTGTTGAAGGAAAGTCTAGATGTTCTACTGTTAGATTTTTCCAGCTTTACTGTTGATTTATGTACCTTCTCCATCTTGACAGCTACTCTGATTAATACTATTCTTGTCATTTGCACAGGAACTTTGAAAAGAGAGATGATCAACATTTGATAATGGATTCAAATGTGCTTTAAAAGAAATTCAGGACATATTCTTCAACAACCCGAATCTTGCCTTAGTATTAACCACTGAAACAGACTAAGGGGTATCAGCACAACATGGGATAATTGGAACTGCACTATGCAGAATTTTATGGGAAAATGTTGGCAATAAAATATCATTTTCCTTTCAATTTACTTTTTTTAAATAGAAAAATATCACATAATAATTCATTATGGCTTTATAAAATTTTCCACTAATAAAGAGTCTTACAGGCCTTCTACTTTTAGGTGGGGTATACAGGCAGTCTAAAACAACCCCTTTATTAACAACTCTTCCTAATCTTTTTTCATTAGGATTAATAAAAAATTATTCTTTCATCTCAGTCTCGATGTATTTATAATTTATATTGTCATTTAGTTAATCTATATTGGCCTACCTTACATATGGTCCTGGGTTTAATGTAAACTCTAATGCAGATTAAAATCTATGCATTTTTTTAAACTGCTGAAACCCTGAGTAGTATTTTATAGAAAAGTAATTATTATTTATATGTTTGATTTGAGCTCAAGTAAGACTGAGGAAGTGCTTTATTTCACACCAGAAAATGGGATATATCTGTTTGTCTCCCCCTGGTGGTGGTTGATATAAAGAAAACAAGCCATTTTTATAACAAAGGAAATAAAACATCTTCTGTAAATAAAATTCATGCAAATCAAATAGTATTTGATTCACAATCAGCTTAATAGATGTTATTTCTAAAGCACGCTTTAAACTGTTAGATGTAATATAAAACATTTCTCAAAGTTTAGAAACAAAGGGGAAAGTAAATAAAAGTCAAACTAAAATATTATAAACCAAGTAAAAACGACAGATATTTGTTATGTTTTTTTTTTTTTTTTTTAGATACAATTTATCATATTATTATCCAGGATGTCCTTCACAATTTGACTGGATGAGTCCAACTGGGACTCCAATAATGTCACAAGAGTGTATTTTGACATACAGTTGAAACACACACACAAATGTTTGTTCTGCTGTATGTCGTGAGGACCATGTATTGACTCCCATTGATTTTCAGTCATTTTCAACCCCTCCTATACCCTAACCCTAAAACTTAACCATTACCAATGCACACCTCTCCCTAACCCAAATAACCGTAACCAATTTTACACCTTAGCCCTAAACCTGACCATTAGCAAAATACTGGTGAAGGTTCTCAGTCATCCAGGTCATAGTCATTCTAAATAAATAAATAACTGACTTGAATTGAAAAAGGTTGCTGGATGAGAAGCAAAACGTCTTTAAACTTGGAAACCAATGCCAATGGATTTTTTTAATGTTTATTTTTATTTTTTTTGTCGTTTTTTATTTTTTACTATTATTATTTATTATTTTTCTGTAATCATTAGCAAAATAGCTTGTGAGGACCTTCAAAATGTCCTCACTTTACAACAACTGGTCCTCATTGTGATGGTGAAATTGGAAAAATTGTCCTCACTCTGCTGCCAGGTATAAAACTGAGATGTGAACAGATTGGAACTTTTCAGGACACAGAGAAGTTCCCAGAAACATTTTACTTTATCTTTGGTAAATAAATGGCTTATTCTGGAAAGGGTGAGTGTTACTACTGGTATCTTACTGTACCTATTTGCTGGTTAATATATTTAACCATTTACTTTTTCTTTAGCCGAATGCTGTTATGATGCTTTTTAGACCCATGCCTATCGTTAAACCACTGACAATCTATCACTTTTATTTTCTGAAGGACGGTTCTTTTTTGTAAAATATGTAAAACAGCTTTAAAAAATGAACTAAAACAACATGAATCAAGTAATCAATTTACAGAGAGCATAATTACTTATTCCAAAACTATTAAATTGACTATAATATGAATATTCTTAACGAAATTAATTGTCAAAATGCGTCTCAAGAAATCGAAATTAATAAATGCTTAATTTTACAGTTTTATTTATTATGGTTTTGTTTTTATTTTGAAACGCTAAGCACAGTGACGTCATCAAAGCGCGTCAATTTCTCCGTTGAGGCAATTTGAACTTTAGTTCCATCAGACTCTCCCCTGTCTCCTTGAAACCGTCTTTTATCATGATAGTCCTACAGAGGTGTCTTAGTTTAATGCAGGTTCCCAGAGTCAGCCTGTTATCGCGATGTTATCGCAGCAAGTTTCGTGTGTCCAGCCCATGTGTAGGGTCTCCCTGTCCGAACATCACCACCCGAACAGCTCTGCTGTCACTTCAGAATCAAAGAGGGTTCGATCATCTGTTATCGGCTCATGCCAACTCTTCTAGAAGTTTCTCATCTTCTCCATCTTCCAGAAAAGACGCTGTTGGGCAGATCCAGTCAACACATTATCATCTTGTTTACACATGCAAGGTACCACAAGTAATGCTCTGCGAGAGTGTTTCAGTCCTGTTCAAACTCTGTCCACTCCAGTTTTCGTTGTGTGATGTGATCTGAGTCATTATATTAAGTCAAGGCAACTGGTAATTAATAAGAGGTCTGTGATGATGTTTGCAGGTTTGCTCCACCAGGTCCATGCAGAGGATCTCTAAGCTGGCCTACCATAAAGGTGTGGTGATAGTGACATGCTCAGGATGCAAGAACCACCACATCATAGCTGACAACCTGAACTGGTTCTCTGATCTGGAGGGAAAGAGGTTGGTTGAGCTGAGATTTAAACTTAGAGGATGCAAGATGGTAATTCAACATCAAACTTAAAGATTTGAATACATATGTTGTTTGAAAAAATAAAATCTATCCATATACCGCTATTTACTGATGTTCTCATTAACAGAATAATTTGGTCTAATGTAATGCTACAGTTTGGTGAAAGCCACAGAGGTTTTTTTTTTTAAAACAAAGGGCTAAAGAAACAAAATTTCTATGAGTTATTGATGAAGATATTAGCTGTAAACAACATGTATGTTATAAAAAAAGGAAAATGGTAAAATCCTTAGCTGTGTTACGTGAATTAAACCTTTTTCCAAACCACTGAGCATTAATTACTTTGTACAACACAATGATCATGTCATACTTAAACTATGGTGTTTGGGGATTACCGTCCGAATCCTATTAAATCTTTATTCATATTACAAAAAAGAGCACTGAAAACTATTAATAATTTTAGAAACATCCTTTTCAAAATTTTCTAGCCCACTTTTTCTTAAGAGTAAGTTATTTAAATTTCATGATTCAGTAGGTTAAAACGTTGTCTAGGTTTTGTATAAGGCGAATAAGAAAACATCGCCAGCTAACTTCCAAGTAAGGTTTGAAAAAAGAGGAAGTCACCTAAAAAAATAATGTGAAAGAAACGGATATCTTAGAAAAAAACACAACAAAAAACTGGTTTAAAACCAAAATGTATCTACCATATGTAATAAAGGAATTAATTAGTGGAACAGACTTAATCAAAGAATTAAAGAATCAAGAATGATGATGACATTCAAAAAACAAAAACTACATGGACATAATGATAGTATGATGTTTTGAATAGTTAAATACTTATATAATACTTTAAATATGATAAAATATAATCAAAGTAAATGCGGATAACTGAAAAAAGATGGATATAAATATTTAGACAGAACGGATGCAGAGATGTTGTAAAAAAGTAAAAATAAAAAGAATAGAAAATCTCTTTATTTTCCCGCAATTGGGAAATTGTGATGTTACAGCAGCAAAAGGTTATAGTAGAAGTGGTCACACAATCTGGACTTTAGAAAAGTGTATAAAATATAGAGATAGGAAAATTAAACAAATAGAGTATAGTACTGTACAGTTTTTTTTTTTTTTTACAATTTAATACTCTGTATCTGGAGAATAAAAGTAATAACAGCTGTGGACATTTTTACAGTAATGGAAATGTGGAAATATAGCAGCAACACCAATGATGTGCAAAAAATAAAAAATAATTATAAAAATACAGCAGCATGTTATATAAATAACCAAAACAGAAACTGCAAAAATCAGCATTAATGTAAAAACTAATTGAGGTTGTTGGAAGCAGTGATGGTTAAAAAGTCTTACAGCTGCTAGGAGGAAGGATCTGTGAAAACCCTCCCTGGTGTATTTATGGTGCAGCAGCCTTTCACTGAATGAATGAAGCTGCAGAATTATCATAAGGCTTTTCTGCTTTCTGCTCCATTTCATTCAAGATGCATTGATTTTAGAGTCCGTGTATTTTTGTGTATATGACTTGTAAGGTTATATTTTGAAATAAATATATTGAATATAAAAAAAAGTTGGAGCACAGGTGAACAAACAGCTCCATGAAGAATGGTGCTGTTTGTTCATGTATGGAAAAAACAAACAAACTGTGTACCAACTGGAGCCCGCCTTCCTGTCCATCAGATATAGTGGTGTCTGGATCCTGCTTTTAGGGATAGTTTCCTTCAGCTTCTAAGCTGGTAAGAGATAAAATGGGAAGATGGTTGATGCTGCATTCAGGGGAATTATGAAAGTAAACCTATCTTTAAAGAAACCTTCTATCTACTTATCTGGAGGTGTTGTATTGCTGTGGGATTAAAATATTAACTGAAGAAAACATGGATAACAATTGTAAAGAAAGTAATATGATGGAATTTTAGTTTAAATTTGTAGTTTCTAAGAACATTAGTATCACAAGAACAGGCAGACTTCTTTGAAAATCTTTACTTTTGTCAAATGTAATAAAAGAAGGGAAATGAGTATTATTTTTCTGCAAGGTGCATCCATAATTAGTGTTGCACAGATTCTGATACCAGTATCGCGCAGGGCCCCGGTACTCGCCGAGTACCGACAATAAGGGCAACGATACTATTTTTAAAGAGCCAAAAGTTTATTCAACAATTGTCCCCCATTCCAGGTAGGCAATAAAAAGTTCTATTGGATTCACTTTGTATTAGTCTTTTTTTTTCCTGCTTCACAAAGGTAGGCAGCAGCTTGACAAGGTCATGATGACAATTATTTAACATCCAAGTAGTATGCAGTTCTTCATATATACACAAACACACACATCAATTTCAAACAGATGGTATCGGCCAATACTGCACAGCCAGGTATCAGGTATCAGTATTGGGACAACACTATCCATAATATTCTGCTGATGGCTCACATTGTGCTGCTTAATCTTTCAGAAATATCGAGGAAATCCTTGCTGCCAAAGGGGAGTCTGTGAAGAGGGTGGAAGGCTCTGCTGCTTTGGAGATAGTTCTGGAAGAATCAAACACAGACAGTGCGCAGAAAGCTGAGAGAGAAGCGAAGGGGAATGAGCCTGAAACAACGTGATTTACCTTGATCACACACTGCACTTGTATCTTTATATATTTACATTTAAAATAAAAGAACTATTTGGTTATCCTTTGGATTGATCATTGTGGTCTCTTAGAATAAAGTGAAAAAATATTAAAACTCAGTGAAACGCAGAGTCGTAGCCAGAACCTTTTTATAAGGGTGTCCAGGCAATAACCAGTGGACACTGATGGGTTGCCGATAGTGGATAGGCGACAGAATCTCATGGTCAATCTACACTGTTCCAACAGGAAAATTAACGAGCAAAACATCCATATTTTTCTACATAAAGACAAACTATCCTTTCCTACAGCCTTTCCAAACAAATAGGCACATATATTTAAACATCTGTGCTTTCTAGATCAAATGTATAGTGGATAAAATTGTTTCAGGTTTGAGTTCTGCTGCAAACATCTTTTCCATTGTCATTACTTACCTACTTTTATCAATAATCATTCTGCATAAAATTGATATTTACAAGTACTAATATCTACATAAATTGATTACTTATTAAGTTTTTATTAATATAGGTGTCTATGATTTCACTGAAGACTCCTAGATGACTTGCAGAAACACAATTTTTAGCTCTGAAAAGAGCATGAATTCTGTATTTGTCATCTTAAATGTTAGTTTATTGATGTGCATAACCACATTATCAACACATTAAACACAGTGTTTTTGGTAAGTAATTGTTAATATATGAAGATTTTTTATATTTTGAATATTCAACTTGAGAGTATTACTGCTGCCACCATCTGTATTAGAGGGGGAAAATATGATAGGGGTGGCCAATGATTGGCTAAGGGTGATCATGGCCACCCCTGGCCCCCCATCTAGCTCTGCCCCTGGTGAAATTATTTTATCTGAGACTGTGGGTGTTGAAAACTATTTTTATTTATTCATTTTTATCAAAATCGTTATCCCCATATATAGGGCACCGAGACTCATCCTGCCTTGGCTTTGGTTGCATTTTTCCCCCCTTTTTTCCTATTTCATTTTCTTCTTAGGGTCAGCATAGCTTTTAATTTTGAAGAGTCACCAGTTTATATTTTAACATTCATTTCAGGATGTTTAAAATAGCAGCTTTCTGTAATATCCATCAATATAAAGTCTGTTTTGTATAAAAAGCCTCAAAACAGAAACTGCTTGATTTGTTCCATCTTGAAACCATGAATTAAGTTCAGGTAAAAAAAAACAAACAAACAAAAAAAACGTCTAAGTAGGTGTCGTGGGATCCAGCGTCAGAAATGACCCAAATAGTTTCCGTTCTCGCGAGAGTTGGACTGTAGCTAATAGCAGGCTGTTAGCTTCTTTAACACGCTGCCGATTCTTCTGTTATCTATATTATTGGAATGACTGAGATGGAAGGCCTTGAAGGCACCGGTGAGACAGAGAAGCCCAGACATCGGCCTTTCTTAATCGGTGTTAGCGGGGGAACGGCCAGCGGGAAGGTAAATCAGTAGAAATGTAGTTAGCTTACCGGTTTATTAACTCGATGTCAATGTTAGCAATTATCAAACTGTCAAAATAAACGCCACGCCCACTTGTTTAGTAGTTTATCATGTAGCTAAAAGAGGCATTGTCTTTGTTACTTTGGTCCAGATTTACTTCTCAATTTCCAGCCTTGATTTTATTAAATAAATAGGTAACAGTTCGGTTTTTTAGGGGGGGGGGGGCATATTTGACGTCATCTCGTAAACCTTGAACTCAGGTCGTAAATTGAACGCAGACTCATGTCTAAATTTAGCCTAATTCATGTATTTATTCCCTTTATGGTCAAAAATGATGCAATGAAAACAACGAAACATTACCTGATATTAACAGGTTTAGTTGTGTAATTTAAAGAGCGTTTTTAACAGATTGATGATGGAGATGTGTTTTGTTTTTGTTTTTTTTCCCAGTCAACGGTTTGTGCCAAGATCATGGAGCTGTTGGGTCAGCACAAAGTGGACCACCGCCAGAGAAAGGTGGCCATCATCAGCCAGGACTGCTTCTACAATGTGCTGACTCCCGATCAGAAAGCTAAAGCCCTTAAAGGACAGTACAACTTTGATCACCCAGGTAAACATGTTCAGACAAGACATTTAATTTCATCAACTTTGTGGAAAAACGGGGTCTAAAAGAAATTGACCAAGTGTTGTTTCATTTCTTTGCAGTAGAAAGTAAGTAGGTTGTACAAACTTTAGATAATCGTTTTCCAAAGTGTGTTCAAGACATCCCCCTAGCTGATGTAACCAATTCACTGGTTCAAGATGTCTTGCAGATGTCTCCATCCTATAAAATCTGACCAAAAGTTATTTAGGGTTTAATGTTCAGCACCCAGTTCCATGTAACTTCAATTGCTGGGTTGTTTGGTTTGACTTTAAGACTATTGTATTTGCTCTTGTAACAACCATTTTTTCAAATGTAGCTTAGAAGATCAACTACAAAATCTCTGCCAGTTATTTGTTCACCATATTGTCAACAGCAGGAATGAAAATATCACTTTCTAAGTAAATAAAGGCAAGAGTTTTGGTGCATTCCGGTTCAGGTTGGGATTAAGGCTTTTTGATTGACAGGAAGGAGCTAAAGGTTGACATGACTTTACTGTTAAGTATAGCGGAGGATCTTTAATGCTGTGGGCCTATTTCTCCTCTAGAGAATCTTTGAACATGGTAAGACTTCATAATGCTAAAAATCAGGACAATTTAAAACCTAATATCAAAACCAAAGTTCTTCAGCATACACCAAGTATTTCCATATATTTCCACATAACATATGCTTTGTTTTTCTTGATTCATTGCTCGATTCTTTAAAATCCACACTACTTCAAACACTATTTCAATGCAAAACAGGTTTATTTGAAAGTTTATTTTCACATCTTAAGACTTGATTTCTGTCTTTAAATTCCTACAATTTCCGACATCTCTCAGAGGCATTCGATAACGAGTTGATGTACAAAACATTGAAGGACATCGCAGAGGGGAAGGCAGTGGAGGTGCCAACATATGACTTTGTCACCCATTCCAGGTTGGAATCATAAAACACTTTAAAGTAATTCGATGTATGAAAGCTCATCCCTTCTGTAGTCTGAAAGCTCTTTGCATGTTTGCAGGTTGGAAGAAAGGATCACCTTTTACCCAGCGGATGTGGTCCTCTTTGAGGGGATCCTTGTTTTCTACCCCCAGAAAATACGTGAGATGTTCCACATGAAGCTCTTTGTGGACACAGATTCAGATGTCAGGTTGTCCCGAAGAGGTACTTGAGCTTCTATCACACTTATTTAATAGTTTTCTTGTGAGTTTTAAACCTTATTTCTCATAGTCCTGAGAGACATGAACAGAGGGAGGGACCTGGAGCAGATCCTAAACCAGTATACGACATTTGTAAAGCCTGCTTTTGAAGAGTTTTGCCTGCCTGTAAGTATAATCACCCCTGATTATGTGCTGGTTTATTCTTCTCTTTATGTCTAAAGAGTTGTTTGGGTTTTTTTTTTTTCAGACTAAAAAGTATGCAGATGTCATCATTCCAAGAGGAGTAGACAATATGGGTGAGAAACTTAAATTTAACCTGCTTATAATCCTTTTCACCAGGTTAGATGATGCCTAGAATAACGTCCTAATTTTTCATTAGTGGCCATCAACCTCATCGTTCAGCACATTCAAGATATTCTAAACGGAGACATTTGCAAGTGGCAGCGTGGGAATATCAACGGACGGGGCTACAAAAGGGTGACTTCGGAGCAGGGGGACCTGCAGAACGGATCCACTAACCCTCCAATTAAGAGGGTCCTGCTGGAGCCCAGCAGTCGGCCTCACTGACACTGAATGGATTTAGATGTGTGTTATGAAGGAATGGGAACAGATAGACTGTGGAGGTGGGGTGAAAACTACTGCTACTGTGCCAGAATCTCACACACCCACTGAATTATTTGGTAATATATATTAGCGGTTTAATGTAACAGGTTTTGACATCTGGAACCCCGATTTATTCGTTGTTAACAGGGTTTCTACACTGTCTGGGATTTCCTGGGATGGTATGGAAAAAGGAAATAATTTAACATTTCCAGACCTTAATCCCTAGAATTATAAATGTGCTCTTCCTCCTTCATTCATTCCATTCGCTCTACCTTCTACCATCCTCATAAATCCTTGCATCTTTCCTAAATCCTTTCCTTCTTCAACACGGTAATTTATTTTTTCCAGTTTCCAAAACAAAAATCTGCACACTTTAGAAACAACCATAGCTGTATTGTAAATTTGTGTATTTTATAATTCAAATGAGCATAATGGTCTAAAGTCATGTCTAGAATGCTGGGTCTGAAATCTTTATGTATAAGATGTGTAGAAACCCTGTTTATAGTAATCAGTATTCTCTTGAGGCGTCATTGTTTTAATTTTTAAAATGGGTAAATAGGTGGTTATTAAACCAGGTCTTATGAGTGATAGAAAATGCTTTTGCACTTTTAAATGTGGTTTGATGGTAGACTAACATCTTCCTCACTACTTTAAGAAGTATTAGTGCATTTAAAGTAAAATGGTACAAATACCACACTGCAAAAATGATCTAGAAATAAGTAGAAATGTCTTAAATTAAGTGTGTTTACCCTTAATTTGAGTAGGTAAATAAGATGATTGCCAACGGAATGAGTATTTTTTTACTCTTGAAATAGGAATGAGATAATATGCACTTGAAATAAGACAATGCAAATCTTTTTTTCTCACTTACCTCCTCAATTCAAGAAGAAATGCACTTAAAGAAAGAAGTTACTTATTTAGATTTCAATTTTCTGCAGTGCACGTAGCCGAGTAGTTGTACCTGTTCTGTAACAGCTTCTTAAAGGAGCTGCAGAAACATTCATACCCATTCAGCATTTTGCCAGCTCATAAACCTTAATGGCTTTTGTGAGACAGACACTAATTGGTGTGTGTTGTGTAGACAAAGAGAACTGACACATGGCTTCCTAGGCTTGTTCAAAACCTGAGAGGCGTTAGATGTAAACAAGGAATAAAACCAATAGGCAATATGCCACTGGTTAGGCAAAATTGATGAAGAGCTTTAATAATATTCATCCAGGTCATGGTAAAGCTTGGAAAAAGTTCAGTCTAGGCAACTGGATTCAATAACAAGAAAAAAAATGCTGGATCTTAACCTGTAATTTAATGTTTTTTTTCTGCCAGAAGATGCAGAATTAGGTAGATTTTATTAATTGTAAATTCACACACCAGTCTGATCACTGGATGGTTGCAACGTTTTAGTGATCGTTGGTGTATATATATATATATATATATATATATAGACTAAGAATCATCAGTTAACTGCTTCTAGTTTAATGTCTTAAGTCATAAAGGTATGAATTCAACAGGCAGCAGCAGTGAGGAATAAAAATAGGTTAAGATATTAAAAGCTGGTAGATACAACCCAAAAGCTGCTTACAAATGTACGCCACACTTTTCAGATTTTAATTTGTGAACCCTTAAACTATTTTCGTCTTCCTTTACTATAATTTTGCACCATCTTGGTTTCTAACAGATTCTGTTAAAAGTACATCAGCGGTTGAGGCGTCAAAATGTAGACAAGTTGAAGGGGTGTGAATACTTTTGCCAGGCTTATGGGAGAATTAACTCCCTGTTTGATCATTTTCTTCCAAGTCTATGCCTTAATATTTTTTCTATTTTTCCACGATTCATGTAAAACGCTGTACATCAATAAACGGAAACTATTGAAGCCTTATTTACTATCAAACAAATGAGACTCTTGCAGACGTAGCTTTTATAGAAACAGAGCCTTTTGTTTTATTGGAGTTTGAGAGCACAGTGTGATGTGTTGGGTGGGGAGGGGGTTTGTGACCATTATCCTAAAAAAAGAAAACAAAAAATAGGATTCCAATGATTTCCTACAGCACACGTTGGAATGACAGACTCACAAGCCTCAGAAGACTTCTCTCTCTCTCTCATGCAGACGGGACCGGGACATGATTGTGTTTGCTTTGTGGTTCTCTACAGTTTAACACGGCACTCCATGATTCAGTATGACATACATAGATCACAGCATCTTTAGTAATTTTCTTTTTCATGTTTTTGCCTTGCCTTTTTTTTTCTTTTTTAGTGCACATACATACGGCACTTAGGAGAAGCTAAGCTCTTCTCATAAGCATAAACGTCCTTTTTAAGAACAAAAGGAGCACTGTATATAATACATGTCATAACCATACATGATTCTTACACAAAAAAAAAAAAAAAAAGTTTAAAAACAAACTCAGATTTCCAGTCTATAGGAGCGATCCTCTTAAGTTCAGTCACAGCAGATTCTCAGGCTTCAGCCTTTCAGTTCGGGGCAGGTTTGCACCTGAGCTTCTGCTGTTTAAGGAGAACTTGTACGTCCGGGGTTAGTGTTGCAGAGGACGACCGGCAAATGACACATACATACAGGAAGAGGTATTAGAGAGATGTGTGGGGGGGTATGGACCATTCAAGTTCTTCTCTCATACGCAACAGCTCCACTCTAAAATAGTCCAGGGAGCAGACTTTGGTAATATCCGTAGTGTCTCCCCATGAGCTCTGACTCCTCCAGCTTTCCTTTGGCTCGACCACAGCCTCAGCTGCTAAATCAGAGCAACAGTAATCCCGATTTATAATCTCCCAGAGCGGCAGAGCTCTTTGTAAACCTCGGCGACGTTTTAGTTGTAGTTTGTTCTGGATTCCTTGGAAACAAGTCACCCATTAGCTTTAGTGGATAGCTTCCATGCGTCTTTCTCTTAGTATGTAATAAAGTGGAGTTAGTGTCATGAAGCACAGTTGAAGGTCAGGGTTAGAAGGCCTGCAGGACCCTAGGTCTTCTCCTCGCGGTCAGTCTTGCGGCGGACAATGTTTCTGGGTTTGATCTTCAGGGACAGCTCCCACAGGGCCTCCTCAGCGAGGTGGTCACTGAAGTCGTTGAAGAAGGAGATGATTTCCTCGTTGCGCTTCAGGTCGTAATGCCTGAGATCAGAACAGGTTAGAGGTGCTGAATAACTATTACTTACTGAACAAAAATCTAATTAGATAACTTTATATGAGATATGAATGCTGCAGCTCGACAGTAAAAGCAGTCTTACACTTGTTGGAAGCGCCGCATGCTGTCAAGGATATTGAACTGCTGCCAGCGTTTGGAGAAATTGACCTTCCCGTCTATGAGGTCGGGGTTCCCCAAATGCACGAAGGTCAGGTCCTGGAGGATGAGGCCTCTGTGAGGAGGAGAAGGAAGGGAAATCAAACAAACAGCCATGTCATGTTTCACTGAGCAGCAGATCTGTTAAAGCAGGATGAAGTGCTCACAGGTACGGGATGCAGGGGGGCTCCACCTCAGCCAGAGCAGCTCTGTAGGCCCTGAAGGACGAGGAGCTGTCGATCAGAGTGCAATACTCCTCCAAACCCTTAAAAACAGGAGCAGATAAGTGAAAAGATGCCTTTTATAAACAATTATCAAAGCTAAATTAAAATATCTCACCTCAGAAGTCTGTTTCTGCCACTCTAACCTCCTGATGGGGGCAGAGTCCAGAGCAGACAGTATTGCCAAGTAGGAGTTGAAATTATTTAACTTTCTTAAGTGCTGAAATAAGAGAATAAGCGTCAGTATTAAATATCACCTGATAAAGATGAGCTTTTCTTTGGAAGAGTGAGACGCCTTACCTTCATTATCTTAATGAACTTGAGAAGCAGCTTCTCTCTGTCCTGAGCTTTCTCCTGCTGAATTATCAAAGAGCGCACCCTGTAGGCCAGAGAGATACGTTAAGCTGTTTGCATTTAATAAAATACAAAAACCAAAAGGATGTGATCTGATTGTTTTACCAATAGCTCATGTTGTTAAAGTGCTCTGTAAACTGAGTTAGGTTGGGACTCTTCTCCTCATTCTGCTCCTTTGCCCAAAGCAGAACCTCTGGAATCTACAGGAAACAGGAGAGGAGGAGTTAAAACACAACCTTGTTTATTGCTCCTGATTCCCAACAGTTAAAGCAAAGTTATTCTGACCAAAAGAAGGAAAGGAAATCACTGCACCTCAATTTTGTAAAAAAGTTCAGCATCAAGTAGCGTGAGCTGATCAGCAATCTCATGACTGCGGAAGTCATGAAGAGTCCCAGGCCTGTTCACAACCAAAAGCGATTAAGCTTCACATTTATCGCCAGCTGCAGTAACAGGGAGGATTACAAAGAACGACACAGATAGAAACAAAGATGGTACCTTGCAGAGACCCCTCGAGCAGCGAGGGGCTTGAGGGAGTTTGTGTATCGCAGCAGCTTCTTTTGCTCCACCTTGTCCAGGATATTTTTACGAAGCACACGGGCGAGACTGAGCTCGCCATTACACACCAGCGTAAACACCAGGTCCATGAGCTGTTTCAAGATGTCCTCAGTCAGCTCCACTAAGCTGGAGGACAGAGGTTGGGAGGTAGAAGTGACTCAATCTCTTACCAAATCAGTGTTCTGGAAATATACTGAGACATTTCACTGCAGCAACTGGGAACATGAATGAGGATTTTTTTTAACTATTAGCTAAACTCACCACAACTCATCAACAACACGGACCAGAACAAAGAACGTGTTCTTGCTGACTCGCTTCTTGAAGGTGTCTGGACTATGGCAGAAGGTGGTATATGTGCTTTTGTGGTCAAGGACAATGGAACAGACTTAAAAGAGCTGCAAACCTCTTTATTAATTTTGTTACACTTTCTGCTATTTCCACATAGAGAATGAAACAATTTCTCCTTTTTTTCTTTTTTGCAAAAGAGCTCTGTCTCATTCAGACTGAATGAAGAGCATCAGAAAAGCTTTTTCAGGTCTTTCCTTAAATTCTTACTTTAAGGCTAAAATCTGCCCGCCTCAAATTAATATAGCTTTTTCTTAACCACTCTGTAGTTCTGGATGACTGTTAAAGGGGTCATAGAATTATTCTATAGGGTATTTGGTGCTGGTCCTTAAGGTCTCTGAATAGGGTGTGTAACATTGGTTGGGCAGAAAATGGCATATTGGCTGTTCTATGAGCTTAATGCAAGCCTGGTTAAAAGCCTCAGAACTAAACGACAGGTTTTCTTCCTTTTATGGTACGCTCATGAATATTTAGATGAGCTGTGCGCTGATTGGTTGGTTTACAACAAGCGAAGCTGCTGAGCATAGACGCATCATAGCAACAAGCACTCACTGAAACATCGAAATTGTTGATATGGTAGGGTGACCAGATCTCCTCTTTTTCCTGGACATGTCCTAGAGCTCATGGCTCTCTGCTAACATGAGGTCCAGTCAACAGAGAGGGGTGTGACAAAAGTAGAACCAAATAAGGCAACATCAGCAATGGGGCTTGGTTTGAATTCACCTGTTTTATGGTGGAAGTTTAGAATTGTGAGATTTGCAGAGAAAGAAGGTGTTGATGGGGTTTGAACTTCTCTGTACGTCCATTTCACCCACTGAACTATCGTTATTCATCTATGATAATATAAACTCGGCTTTGTATTCCATGACCCCTTTAAGAATCTCTAACCTCTAGGAAGGTTTCAACCTCTGTTTTTCTTAAAAGACCCAGTATTTAGTCCTGCCCCCCCCCTTATCTCAGCCCATAAGGCCTGAAAATCTTCCCCAAGAATAAGGCTGCCACTACCGTGTTTCCCTGTGGAGATGATAAGTTCAGGTAGTCCTAGTGTCATCAGAATGTGATCATGCGATATTTTTAGGATTCTTTTTCTTTCCATTTCACAAATACTTCTTTAGTGTGTGCATGAATACATGAAATCCCAGTAACATTGAAGCAAAAAAATAAAAATAAATAAAAAATCTGCATTTATCAGTACAGATCTAGATCAGAACAGGCAAGTCTGTTTTAAGTAAATATGGATTAAAGCTTAAAAAAAAAAAGTTCTGGAAGAAAAAAAAGCAATTAGACCAGAGCGACATGCTGATTGATTTTAAAAGGATATCTGTAGTGTAGCTTCTTAATGAGGTCCTCTGGGGTTATAAAAGTCCTATATGTAGTCAGGAAGGCTTCACAGTACAAAACAAGATCTGTAAAGAAAAAAAAAACAATAGCATCTTTGAGATGCCTTGCAGCTAAATAAACAAATATAACCTAACATATCAAATATCCCTGCTACATAGAATTATAGTCTTAATATTAGACTGAGGTTGCTTAAGGCCAATCAAACATATAGGATTATTCAAATATGAAATTAATACACCTTTTAACAATAAAAGATAAAGACAGTTGGACCTAGACAGTTTTTACCTTTGCGGTCTGTTTCTGTAGCGTGGACTAATAGGATGTCTCCTGACCCAGCACGGACGTCAGGACCGTCGTCATTCTGGAAAGATTCGGAGTAATAAAGAGAAGCTCAATATGAAGAGAAATATCTATGAGAGAGACGCAATTCAGCCCAAAACGTAGCATGCACATTTTCTCTTCAACCAACCCCATTTTTCCTGCAGCAGCTCCTCTGATGACGAAGAAAAGTCTGACTTGTACATAAAATAAAATCTAAAAAATGATTCACTGCAATGTTTGTGTTGCAGCACAGCTAAATTGCCTTTCTGG